TATAAAACAATAAAAGTGTTTTTATTTGAAGCCCAGGTAAGCGGGAGCAGTAACGGCAAACACCAAGCCTCACGGGATAGGGGATGAGCCCATGGGATAGGGGATGAGCCGGTCCCTCTCATTCCCACTCCCCAATGGGACCCACAAACTGTCTTCGGCTACTATTTAAGCTCCTTAACTAAAGCCATGATCCAGAGACACACAAAAGACTCTCAGAACCGAGCAGCTTGCTATAGAGATGCCTCCGGACTTTGCACCAGGCGGCTTGCACGGGGCTACTCCAGACGGGAGCAGGTGTGTTTCGATAACAAAATCAGAGCCTGCCCTTGAAGTTGCCACCCGGCAGTCCTCATTCTAAGCACACTGTCAGTATCAATCCATCCTCCCCTAGTCCTCCCGTGTGCTGTGACCCAATTTATAGGTGAAAAAACTGGCGTTGGAGAGTGAGGCCAAGCGCATCAGTTACCGAAGGATCAAGGTAATCTGCCCATTGTGGCAAATGAATCTTTTATGGAACTGCACCACTTTGATCATAAATGTGGTTTTCTTTTTCCTTGTTTCGGGGGGGGAGGGGGAGAGGGAGCAGTGGGCAACACCTGGCAGTGCTCACCGCTTACTCCTGGCTCCATGCTGAGAATCACTCCTGGTGGAGCTCAGTGTGGTGCTGGGAATTGAACCTGGGCTGACCACGTGCAAGGCAAGTGTTTTCCCCGCTGTACTATCTCTCCAGCCCCACACATTGTTTGTTTGTTTGCTTTCATTTTTTCCATGTGTCTTTTATTTAATGTCACTTGCTTTTTACACCTTCCCTTTTGGCTGCTGTTGGTGTGGGCAGCGGGGTTGGGGGCACACTTGGTTGAGGTGCCCTGGAGCTGGCAGTATGATGCGGATGTTCACCAGCCATGCAGGGATGGATGCAGTGATGTGAGGCTATGCTGCAGATCCAGCATGTGGCTCAAGCATGCAGACACCAGATCACATCCCTGGGCTGGGGTGGGAGTGTGGGGATGTGTGACACTGTGGATATTTTTTGGTGGGGAGACATCCTAGGTGGTGCTCAGGGGTCAAGAGGGGCCAGAGATCTAGGGCCTCACACATGGAACGTCTGTGTTCTACCTCAGACACTCCACAGCACCAAGTGTGTGTGTGTGTGTGTGTGTGTGTGTGTGTGTTTGGAAATTCTGAGTCCTTTTATTTCTTTTTATTTTTAAAATTTTTTTCGGCTTTTTGGGTCACACCTGGCAGTGCTCAGAGGTTACTCCTGATTCTGCACTCAGAAATTACTGTTGGTGGTGCTCAGGGTACCATATGGGATGCCGGGAATCAAACCTGGGTCAGCCACATGCACAGCAAACGCCCTACCCTCCGTACTATCTCTCTAGCCCTAAATATTTTTTTAATTGAATCACAGTGAGAAACACCCTATGGACTTGTTTGTGTTTTGTTGGGGTGGAGGGGGGACTCCGGGCAATGCTCAGGAGACCAGGCCGCCACCCCTACCCCCAGTTATTCTTGACCAACCAGGCCAGCAGCTTAATGCTGGGCCCAAAGGAAGTCGTGCGACTCCAGTTCTGCACTGCTGGGGATTACCAGTCTCCCCAGTGCTTTTGCGGGGGCCTCCAGAGCTGCTCTTGGATATGCTTCAGGGACCGTATGTGGTGCCGGGGATAGAACCAGGGTTGGCTGCATGGAAGGCCAGAGCCTTCTGTGCCGTACAAGCTCTTCAGCCCTTATTGTGTTATTATTTTTATAGGGGCCACACCCAGTGGTTTTGCGTGGGGAGCCCCTGTACCCAGCCCCTTTGTGTGGCCTGACCTTTCAGTTCAGGGCCCAGCGCACTCAGGCGAGGTTCTGGGTGGGGTGAGGTGGAGGGCATGCGCTGTTGGGGATCAGATCCAGGCCAAGGCTTGTGCTTCATCTCTCTCTGCCACATCCCCAGCCCTCACCAGGCTTAATTTTTTTTTTTTATATATAGGTTTACATTTCCCCTTCCCCCAGGGAATCAAGTTCGCCACTTCATGTGAGACGGGCTAATGTGGCTTTTCTGCATCATTATGTACCTTTATCCACACATACATTCTTTTAAAATAGTGTCTCGTAGTCAACAAACATTTACACATCGTGTGTTCTCGCTCGTTCTTACCAGGGAGCCCCTGGTGGACTGAATCCACTCTTTTTTTTAACAGCCACACTCATTCGTCCACCCACTGGCCCTCCCTGCGGTGGTCATCATCTATGGCCTCTCAAGGCACTTCTCGATTCCATTAAGGAGCCTGAAGACAGAGTTTCCAGGGCAGGAAGGAGGAACAGGTGCTGGGGGGTGGCAAGTGGTGGCATTTCTGCCTGGCCCTACCCACGCCCTCGCGCCCAGTGGCAGAAATGATGTTATTATGAACTCATTTGTATGCATTGTGAAGTGCTTTGCCTAGGATAAGGCGATTTGCATACAGAGGGGGGGACGAGGGGGGCCTCTAACAGCTCCCAGACTGGCACCCCTGAGCGTATTCCTTCCTCTGCAGAGACCGTTGTTAGGAGCTTGTCCCAGCCCCAGGAGCGTAAGAAGACAGGTGGTTCACACACAGGAAAGGTGGTCCCACCTGCAGCGGGTGGGGCTTTCGGAAAGGGCAGACGTTTGGAGACTGGGACAGGGAATGGGGCAGCCTATGTGAGAGTCGAGTGTACCCCCAGGGATCATCCTTCATTCAGAGGCAAGGTGCATCCATGGGTGGACAGGTGAGGGTAAGACCTGGTCTTGGAGACCCCTCACCCCATGGCCGGATCTGCAAGTGAGTACCGATGAGCCGCATCCTGAACAGTCTCCAGCCCTAACTGGCTCCGAGGAAGATGCGGGTGGGAAGTGCCCAAACCGACCCCAGGCACCGTGCAGGAGAAAGGTGGTCCCGCTGCAGGAAAAAGGAGGGTCCCTCTTGCTTGCTCTAGGTGCAGAGGCACCCGGTTCCCATCCCGGCCCTGCTCGGGGCGTGACTTCTGTAGCCCCGGTCTCCGCGCGCCCACCTTAGCAGGGCAGAGGGCGGGCTCTGGGATGGCACTGAGCGGAGGCTGCAGTTCGCATCTCTGGTCCTCCCCGCCCTTGGAGTCCCAAGCGGCGGGTGTCCGCCTGCCAGGCATTGGACCCCAAAGGGTTAAGAGGCCTGGAGCACAGGGCCTGAGGTTCCCAGTGAAAAACCGAAGCATAAAAATAATCCGATGAGTAAGAATAAAATTCCCTCTTCTGAGGTTCCCGGGGGGGCCGGGCCCCTCCCTGCGGCGGACACTTCCCCTTTTCCCGGGTTCTTGGAGGCGCCGGGCCGGGCCGGGGCCGGCCGGGTGGCCGGGGAGCGGGCAGCGGCGCGCGCCCCCGCGCGGCCGACGGCGGCACGACAGCCCCGGGGAGGGGAGGAAGCGGCGGCCGCCCCGCACGCCGCCCTCCCCGGCCGCCGCCGCCCGCTCCCGCCCGGCCGCGCGCCCGGCCGCGGGGGCGCCCACTTCCGCCCGGCCCCGAGCGGAAGCGCGCCGGCCGCTCGGGTCCCCCGCGGCGGCCGGGCGGAAGCGCGCCGCGCCCCAGCGCTCCCCCGCGGCCCCTCGGGCGCGCCGCGCGCCGGGTTCCGGGCCGGTCCCGTGTGACGTGGCCGCGCGCCGGGGGGCGGCTCCGGGCCGGGGGCCGGGCGGGGCCGGCGGGGCGGGGCGCGGGGCCGCAGCTGGATGGCCGGGGCCGCCCGGAGCGCCGCCGCCGCCGCCGCCGCCGCCGCCGCCGCCGCCGCCGCGCTGCACTTGCACGGTGAGTGCCCGCCGGGCCCGCGGGAAACTTCCTCGGGCTCCGCTCCCGTCGCCCCCCGACGAACCGCGCCGCCCGCTCTCCGGGCCACCCTCCCGCCTCCTCCCTCGCATCCTAACTCCGCCGCGACTCCGCTCCCTGCCCGCTCTCCTCTGCCAGACCCGCGGTCCCCTCTCCTGTGTCTCTGATCGCCCCCCGACTCCCCAGACAGACCCCCAGGCCTCCACGGGACCCGGTCCCGTCCGAGACTTCATCACCGATCCCTCGGCCAGGCCTGCAGCGACAGGACCTGGGCACCTTGAACCCAGCCCTCTCCCCCATCCCCACTCCCACCCCATGTCCCACGCCTCCCCCCACACACCCGAGCTGCAGAGGAAACTGAGGCAGGGGCAAGCAGCAGCTCAAGGTCACCGCCAGCCTAAGGCAGGGCGGACCACGCTTACTTTCCTGCCTGAGTCCCCAGTTGGAACTTCTCTCTTGGTTGACTCACATCCCCTGTGATCCCGGTATATTCCTGCCTCTGGGGCTCCCCCACCCTCATCGCAGGGACCGCGGGTCCCTACTCCCCCCACCGGCAGGCAAGCACAGCTCACCGGCACCTGGGGAGGGAGGACCAGGCACAGGGAGGTCCAGGCACGTCCTGCTGATGAGGAAACAGGCTGGGGGTGCTGTGGGTACTGTGACCTTCCTGGCTGCAGGGCTGCACCTCACCTGCATGCAGGTCCTGTCTCTCCGACACCCCACCCTGCCTTTGTGGTGGGGCTCATTTCTCAGGAAGAAACTCCCCTCCTCTTGCAGACTCCCCTGTGCCCTCAGGCTAAGCAGGGGTCACCTCGGTGGTGGGAAGGTGTTCCCCAGGCCACATCCTGCCGGGCCCCTCTGGTTGCTGGAGACACCGAGCTGGGCTGGGGCTCTGGGCCGGGCCAGTAGCTGAGGGGCACCCAGCCAGCACCAGCCTCACCCCGTCATTAGGGAACGTTTAGCCTCCAGCGGACAAGCCGCAGGGAGGGGAGGCAAGAGGAGGCTCCGTAGGAAAAAATGTGTGATGGAGAAGCAGAGTCCCTTTGCCCGTCCGCCCGATCCGCCCTTGGAACCCCCCCACCCCCACCCCAAGGCTGCTGCAGAGGTCACAGCCCCTGGAAGTGGGGCGGGAGCTAAAACGCCACGTTTCCAAAGGCTGGGCGGCAACAGCTCACAAGAGCCACCTTCGTGTTTTTCAGCACGTGGCATGCCTGCATGTCCCGGCCCCGGCGGTGTCATGGGGGGCCAAGGGCTCCTCTTCCTCACGGCGCTTACCCTGGAGCTCCTCGGAGGGGCTGGGGGCTCCCAGCCGGGCCCCCGGAGCCGGGGGGCTGCAGCGGCCTGTCGCCTGGACAACAAGGAGAGCGAGTCCTGGGGGGCCCTGCTGAGTGGGGAGAGGCTGGACACCTGGGTCTGCTCCCTCCTGGGCTCCCTTGTGGTGGGGCTGAGCGGGGTCTTCCCGCTGCTGGTCGTGCCCCTGGAGATGGGGGCCACGCTGCGCTCAGAAGGTGGGTGCCGTCTGTGGGGAAAGCGGGTGTTGGCGGGGGGACGGGCGGGGGCGAGGGCGCCGTGCACCCCTGCAAGTCATTGGCTTCTCCACCCACCTGGTGACCACTTCTGCCTGCAGCAGTGTCAGGCATGGGCACGTTGGCCGCTTCCCGGCACGGGCCAGCACAGGTCATGGTTGGGACGGGGGCACTCCTGGGCTGTCACTGCATTCACGTTCCCCGCTGGCCAGGGGGGAGCAGCTGCCTGATTGGGAGCGACCCGGGGCCCGTAGATGCTTTTCTGGCCCAGGACGAGGTGGGGCACTTGCCCTGCTGAGCACAGGGGCAGAGCGTGGCCCCTCCCTGTCCATCTCGGCGCTTGCCCGCTCGCCCGGGCCCGCCGTCTGTCCTGTGCGCTGCAGCGTTTCTCGGCATGGACAGGCTGGGGCAGGACAGAGGCGTGGTCAGGTAGGAGCGGCTGCAGTTGCACGTGCCCGTCGCCCGGCCCCTGAGCGTGTCTGATGAGCCTGGACCGGAGCCCAGGAGTCAGCTTGACGGGAGTTGGCCCCGAATGTGCCGCGCCAGGCTGTCGCGCGGTGTCTGCGGGGCTGGGCAGGGCGCTGGCACGAGGCTGTGCGCCGGGCGGGGTGGGGTGGGGTGCTTTGTGGGGTGTTGCTGTCTCCACCCTACACCAGCTCAAAGCCTCGGGGAGCAGCTCACGGTGTGGCCGTGGGGCCGGCCTGGTGAGCCCCCCTCTCAGATGGGGAGGCAGAGGCCCGGAGAGGGTGCCGGAGCTGTCCAAGGTCAAGTAACCTGAAAGTAGCAGCTTGCTCTGGGACTCAGTTTCCCTAGCAACCCCAGGGTGTGTCCTCGGACCTGGCAAGTCTGCCGAAGTCCCCAAATCCCTGCCCTTTTGGTGGGGGTGGAAGGGAGGCTGTGCCGATCTTCCTGCATCATTGTTCTCAGGGGGGAAACTGAGTCTCGGGGCTGCTCCACCAAGGTCACCAGCTGCAGGCTGGGCCCTGGATGAGAGGTGGCGACTCCCACTAGCCCTGTGTTTCTTGCCCTGCCAAGCCCATCCTTACTCTCCCCGGGCAGCTGCCCAGCCCCGGCCGTCCAGAAGCACACAGTGTTCTGAGGAACCAGCCAGGAGCCCAGTGAGCTGGGGTGGGACCCTCGGGGCTCAGGGGGCTCAGCCTCTCTGCCTTGTAGCTGGGACCCGGCGCCTGAAGCAGCTGCTCAGCTTCGCCCTGGGAGGGCTCTTGGGGAACGTGTTCCTCCACCTGCTGCCCGAGGCGTGGGCCCACACCTGCAGCAGCAGCCCTGGTGAGTGGGGGCCCCGGGCTGGGGTGGGGGTGGGGGATGGGCGCTCGGGGCTGCAGAGGTTGGGCGGGGGGGACCTGTGATGAGGAGCCTGCTCCCCTCCGCCAGCCAGCTGTGCTGCCTCTGCAGGTGCTGAGGGCCAGAACTTACAGCAGCAGCAGAAGCTGGGGCTGTGGGTCATTGCCGGCTTCTTCGCCTTCCTGGCCTTGGAGAAGATGTTCCTGGACAGCACAGAGAAAGAGGGCAGCAGCCAGGTGAGCGCCCGGCTCGGCCTGCGGGGTGGCGCCAGGCATGTGGGGGGTGGGGGGGGGCAGGCTCTGCTATCCTGGGAAGATCTCTAGGGGCCCATCCCAGCCCCCCTGCCTTGTTCTGACAGAGTGATAGCAGGGTGGAGTGGGGGGGGTGGGGCTCCTGGCTGAGTCGGGGGCTCCCAGGCGAACCCAGCAGAGTGTTCTCGGGGTCGGGGAGACAGCTCCAAGGGCTGCCATGGAGCCTCTGCACTCCTGAGGCCATGCTTTCATCCCTGACACCGCAACGTTCCTAGCCCTGCCGTGAGTGATACCAGGCCCGGATCCCTGAGCACCACCCAGTGTGAATGCAAGCCCCTCTTTGCACCCGCCAAAAGAAAGAGTGTATTCAGGAGCGGGGGTGGTGGTGGGTTGGGGCGGTGATAGTTCAGGGCTCAGGGCACATGCTTTGCATGCAAGGACCAGGCTCCATCCTCAGCACCACCTGGTCCCCCGCACTTCCTGGCTCAGGAGTTTAAACTGTCTGGCCAGCCAAGCCGAGCAACGGCCCCCGGTTCCCCTCCCTGAGTGCTGCTGGCGGGGACCTCCCCAAACGGGTGGGTGTCTCCCCTGGCCGAGTGGGGAGGGGCATCTAATGTCACCTCTCCCTCCTTCTCCCGGCCCTAGGCCCCCAGCAAAGGCCCCGTTGCTGCTGCCGCGCTCAATGGAGGCCGCTCTCTGGCCCTGCCGGCCGCAGAGCCCGGCCTGAGCGCCGTGGTCCGGAACATCCAAGTGAGTGGCCCGCTCCGGGCCCCCGCAGTGGTCAGCGGCCTGGCCTGGCCCCGCGGTGCCCCCAGCTGAGCCCAGGTCTCCCCTCTTGCGCCCCCCCAGGTCAGCGGCTACCTCAACCTGCTGGCCAACACCATCGACAACTTCACGCACGGGCTGGCCGTGGCTGCCAGCTTCCTCGTGAGCAAGAAGGTGCGTGGGGGAGCAAGCGGGGCCCCGCAGTCCCAGGGAGACGATGCCTGTGTGGCCCCCACACCTGCTCTGCACCCTGCTTCCTCCATCACAACACCCCCCGGAAGCCCCCGCCTCCCGGCTGCTCTTCTGGACACGGCCTCCTTCCGTCCTCAACCTCTGGCCTCTTGCTGCAGACACGGCTTGTCGGGGTCCCCTGCTTCTGCCCGGCTGCGGGAGGAGCCCAGTCTGCTCCTCGAAGCTTCCTCCTGCCATCTCCTTGCTCTGCCCCAGGCGCCTGCCTGCTCTTGACTTGGGGGGGCGGGGGGAGCCCTTGGCCCCTTGTGGCCTTAGCCTCACTGTCCCCTCAGCCTGGAATGTTCTTCCTCTCGCCCCAGGACCTTGGGTCTCTGCCTCAGTGCACTTTCTCCCAGAGGCCTTGCGGGCCCGTTCTTGTGTGATGGCTCCATCCCCAGCCTGCCCGCCTCAGGCGCCCGTTTCCAGTAGCCAGAGCGCGCAGGGCAGGGCAGGGCAGGCTCCGGGAGACGGGTGGGCAGGGGCGCGTCGTGGCACAGGCCCGCAGACTCCCCTTCCTGCAGATTGGGTTCCTGACCACCATGGCTATCCTCCTGCACGAGATCCCCCACGAGGTGAGTGGGGGGGAGGGGGTTAGGGATGAAAGGGTAGGGTAGGCTGCAGGGGCGGAGAGAGGGGCGGCCGGAGCGATAGCACAGCGGGTAGGGCGTTTGCCTTGCACGTGGCCGACCCGGGTTTGATTCCTCCACCCTTCTGGGAAAGCCTGGCAAGCTACTGAGACAATCCCACCCGCACAGTAGAGCCTGGCAAGCTCCCCGTGGCGTATTCAATATGCCAAAAAAAACAGTAACAAGGATTGTCTCACAAGGGAGACGTTACTGGTGCCCGCTCGAGCAAATCGATGAACGAAGGGAGGACAGTGCTACAGGCTTGGGGGGCTGCACTGCAGGGGGTCCGGGAGTCCGGGCGACCGTGTGGTCCTCCCCTAGGTGGGCGACTTTGCCATCCTGCTCCGGGCCGGCTTTGACCGATGGAGCGCAGCCAAGCTGCAGCTCTCGACGGCGCTGGGGGGCCTGCTGGGGGCCGGCTTCGCCATCTGCACGCAGTCTCCCAAGGGAGTAGGTACGGGCGTGGGGGTGGCGCGGCGGGCGGCGGTGCGGGCGGCCGGTCCTGGCCTGTCCCCGGGCGGCAGCCAGCGGCCTCCTCCCCCCTCTGCAGAGGAGACCGTAGCCTGGGTCCTGCCCTTCACGTCTGGCGGCTTCCTCTACATCGCCCTGGTCACCGTGCTCCCCGACCTCCTGGAGGAAGATGACCCGTGGTGAGTGGGCCTCCCGGGGGCCCTGTGGAGCTGCGGGAGGGGTGGGGTGCCCAGTCCCAGCCCCTCTAAGCCGGCTTTGCCCCCAGGCACTCCGTGCAGCAAGTACTCCTGCTCTGCGCGGGCATCGTGGTCATGGTGCTGTTCTCGCTCTTCGTGGACTGAGCACGCCCCCACCCCTGCACAATAGACTCCGTTTCTCCCCGCGAGCGTGTGTGAGGCAGAGGGCAAGCGGCCGCGCGTCACCGTGACCCGGGGGAGCCCTGGGCAGACGGGGTGCCAACGCGAGGAGCCGCATGCTGGGCCCTCCCTGCCACGCAGGCCGAGAAGGGAGGCAGAGGCCCCACCCACCCCCCTGCAGCCCACAGGGAGGGAGCCCCAAAGCGTTCTTCCTGGGGCGTCCCAGGCCCTGGGTTGACGGAACTCACTCCCTCGTCCGGGAACCGCAGCTGGGGCCCATCATCCCGGCCCATGCCCCGCACCAGCTGCAGGCCCAGAGTGAGGAGTGGCAGGAGCTGGTGGCACCCCTGCCCTCGCGGTCACCCCGGCCAGCTCCTGCTGCCACACAGTAGTAGCCTGTAGGGCAGGGGGCAGGGCGGCAGCGGCTGGCAAGAGGCTCCTTCCTGCTCAGGGATGTCTCGGGCCCCTCTCCCTACCCAGTTGCAGTGGCTAAGGGGGTGGTGAGGACTCCGCATTGTCAGCGCTCAGGAATGTGCTCTGGGAGAATGCTGAAGCCATAATCCCCAGCTATTTCCCTTGGCCGACGCCCAGGTACTCAGCTGGCTGACTCCAGGCCCAGCTCCTGCTGCCCGCCACGTTCTGAAGGGACCGGCCTGGGGGAGGGGAGCCTGACAGGCTCCTGGCAGTTCTGCTGTGGTTCTGTTTGTATTTGTAAATACCTGTTCTATATATGATGCAAATAAATACTATATTCAGACTTGCTGGCTATCCCATGCTGCGGTCCACCAGCCATGTCACCCCTGCCTCCTCCTGGCCCTTCTGCTCTGTGCTGTCTCTGAACCAGCACCTCTGCAGTGCCCCTCGGACAGGGGCACACATTTCAAGTAGCCCAGGAATTCCAGCCTGGCACCATAACCCTCGATCCCTGTGGGTGCTGCCTTGCTCAAAAGACACCAGTGGCTCTTCCCCTGCCCGCCCTGGGCAGTTTTTAATTAAGGAGCCCTAGCCACAAAGTGGCTCCAGATTAGACCTGAACAAAATTATTTTCATCAAAACACGAGCGGTTGGGAAGACAGCCCAGTGTGCGTGCTTTGCACACGGCACTCAGGTCTGAGCAGACAGGTGTGGCCTCAACCAGAGAGAGAAAATGGGGACTAGATCCCAGATGTAGCAGAGTGTGTGCTACCAAGTTTCTGTGAGTAGAGCTTTGCATTTGATCCCCAGAGCACATAAAATGGGGGGTGGTAGGGAGATTTAGATCCTAGGAAAACCCATACCTCCAGCTATGCGGGATAGACGGATGTGGGCGCTAGGGGGCGCTGTCTCCCACTGTCCCGGCCAGGCGCCACCAACCAGGCCTTCCTTCAGGAGTCCTTGACTGAGAAGGTGGGGCCACCCCCCCTCCCCCGTGGAAGCCCAGAGCACAGAACATAGGTGAGAAAGCCAAAGAGGGGTCCAAGGCAGGAAGTTTGTCGCATGGATTCACGAGGGCAAGGGGCAGTGGGCCCCTCGGGACTCGCTGAGATGGAGGAGCTAGAGGGGACAGATGAGCTCTGGAGAACGGCTCCTTGGACTGGACAGCCCGCCCTGGGAGCCCTGGTTCAGCAGCACCCAGGAAACAAAGTCAGTTCCGGCGAGAAGCCCCTCCTGGTCCAGGCGCCCCAACAGAACGAAGCTAACTGGAGAAACTCGGCACGAGACCCCAGAGCACAGGGCGCGCCCTCAACCGAGTGACCGGGTCAGGGTGGTGGGGGAGCTGGTGGCCGGGAGGAAGCCCAGGCCCGGGGCAGAACACCCAGCAAGACAGAGACCAGCCAAGCACAGCTCTGAGTGGACCGGGCTCCCAGCCAGAGAACAGTCAAGAGGCCCAGAAACCAGGGCGGCGCTTCGGGACGCCAGGGACACGCAACCGTGCGGCCAAGTACAGAGCGGGAGGACAAGTGGCCCCTTCCCTTCTAGAGCTTTGGGTGATGGGAATGGGGGGGTGGGCAGGCAGAGGCCAAACAAGTTCTCCCAGAGGGGCTCCCCCAGACAACTGGATTCCCGGCAGCAGCGCCTGGAGGAGAGCGGCCCATGGCCCCGCGTCAGGGCCCAGGGTGGGGAGGGAGGCCTGGAGAAGGCTTCCTGCCCACGACCCCACGCTCAGGGCCGCAGTGTCCAGGACGGGGAGAGAGGGGGACAGGCTGCAGCAGACCCAGAAGCCATCTTTTATTCCAATCCCCGCAGCACGGGCAGCGCAGCCCTAGGCGTAGTACTGCAGGTTGGCTTTCTTCTTAGCCTGCACCTCCAGGATGCCCTCCATGTAGTCCTCGTGCGTGAGCTCCGTGGCCCCTCTGCGCAGTGCGATCATGCCCTGTGGACAGAACACACAGGCTGAGTCCCCAAACCCGACTCTGCCCCTCGCCTCCAGGGACACGGGCACGGCCCCCCTGGGACTCACCGCCTCCACACACACGGCCTTGCACTGGGCCCCGTTGAAGTCATCTGTGCAGCGAGCAAGCTCCTCATAGTTGACATCAGGACTGGGGGGCGGGCACACAGGGGCCAGTTAGCATTTAGCATGCTGCCACTCCCTCAAAAGCAAGATCCAATCACTGGGGAACCCTGCTCTCAATTCATGGGGCTGGGACAGTGCCAGGTCATTTTTTCTGGCTTTCTGGGTCACATATGGTGATGCACAGGGGTTATTCCTGGCTCTGCACTCAGGAATTACTCCTGGCAGTGTTCGGGGGACCATATGGGATGCTGGGGATTGAACCTGGGTCTGTCACATGCAAGGCATACACCCTCCCTGTTGTACTATTTCTCTGGTTCCCAGACCACTTAAGCCCCCATTTCTAGCATCTCCGGGCGCTCACCTGGAGACCTGAACCTGAGACCGCCCCCCCGGGGTGACTCCACGTGAGCAAGGGGGCGTGCTGTACAGATGGGTAAGGTCCCAGCCCCCTGTCCCCAGGAGCACGGACCTCACGTGGGCAACTGAGGCCCCTGGGGGCCAGCCCCACGCCTGATGTCACACAACCCCGCAAGGCTGGTGCTACCATCCTTTGGTCCAAAGAGAAAACCAAGGCTGGGCAACAGGGTGCCACTCACTACAGCTAGCCAGTGTCCCTGTCAGTTGTGTTCTGCAGCTGGAGGAGGGGAGGCCCAGAAACAGGGTCTGGCGGGCACCTTCTAGGCTCGGGAGAACTGAGGGCAGTGAACTCTAAGCCATGCTGGAGCCAGGGCACCCGAGGAGAAACAGGTTAGCAGAGGAGAGGTGGGTCGAACACCAGCCTGCCCTTGCTCAGGGACTACTCACCTGACATTCATCTTCCGGGAGTGAATCTGCATGATTCTCGCCCTGGCCTCCTCGTTGGGCATCGGGAACTCAATCTTTCGGTCCAGACGACCTGAGCGGAGCAGGGCAGGGTCCAGGATGTCCACTCTGTTGGTGGCTGCAATGACCTGCGCAAAGGAAGCAGCAGCCACAGGCCCTAAGACAGACCAGTCATGGCCAGGGAAGGCGGACACAGCTTTAGATCTGGGGGGGAGGGCAGGGGTAGTAAGAAAGCCCGAATCCTAATTCTAGTCACACGATTTGGGAGGCAAGAAGAGCCCGTCATCCCCCTTGGCGTCCCTGCAGAGCGAGAAAGGCTCACCTTGACTTGCGTATTGGGCTGGAACCCATCCAGTTGGTTGAGAAGCTCCAGCATCGTCCTCTGCACCTCACGGTCCCCTGCCTTCTCACTGTCGAAGCTGGACACACAGGAGGCCAGGCAGGCTGGTGAGGTGACAGTCGGGGGATCCCACCCTCTTACCCGACAGAGGCCGGCTTGGTGCATCCAGGGCTGGGCCCCAAGCCCAGGAGTGGCCCAGGGAGGATGTCAGAACTGTTATTACTGCATTCTGGCAGGGACGCTCTGGGGATCCAGGGTCAGATACTGGGATCAGTAGCCCAGGTGTGGAGGCATCCTGACAAAGGACCCCTCAGCCAAGACCGACTCCCACATAAGCTGGGCCACGATCCAATAGAGAGAACAGGAGAAGAGGAGGAGGGAGGGAGTGCAGCAAGGGTAGGCCCGCACAATACAGCAGAGAGGGCGCCTGCCAGGCACGTAGCCAACCCAGGCTCAACCCCCAGCATCCCACATGGTCCCGAGCACTGCCAGAAGTGATTCCTGAGTGCAAAGCCAGGGGTAACCCTTGAGCATCGCTGAGTATGACCCAAAGACAAAAACAAAACAAAAAGAGTAGGCCTGCAGACCAAGGGGACACGCGGAGGAACGGGGCTGTGGGCCTTGATGAACTCAGCACTGATGCCAGGCAGCAAGATGACGGCCCAGGAAGGGTTTCAAGTAGGCTCTGTCGGAGTGGGGGATGGGGTGCCCTTGAGTAACATGACCAAATTTTGAAAGGAACATGCTAGCTACTATGAGGAGAAAAGACCGAGACAAAACTACAGGAAGATCAGCCAGAGACAAACACTGTCTGCTAGAAGACAAACGCTGAAGCCAAAGCCAGTTGCCGCCACACGAGGCTCAGGTCAGGGCGGGAGAGTAGGCATCCACCCCCTTACCGCTTGGTGCCAATGGCATCCAGCTCATCAATGAAGATGATGGATGGGGCTTTCTCCTTGGCCAGGGCAAAAGCATCCCGCACCAGCTTGGCGCCATCCCCAATGAACATCTGCACCAGCTGGGGGCCGGCCAGCTTCAGGAAGGTGGCCTGTGGGGGGGGGGGGGGTGAGAGGGCGACAGTCGGGCCAGGGGACCATGACAGGCCCTCCCCACCTCCCGGTCACACCCACATCGCCTCAACCCTCCAGAAACACTCACCTTGGTCTGTGCGGCACAGGCTCGGGCCAGGAGGGTCTTTCCAGTACCTGGGGGACCGTACATCAGCACCCCTTTTGGAGGCTGAATGCCCAAGTTCTCGAACTTCTCCTTGTGGTTCATGGGTAGGACAATGGCCTCGACCAGCTGCAAGGAAGGAGCTGTGTGTGAGGGAGCGAGAACCCAAACTCCTCTGGCTTCACCCCCCGCGCCCCACCCCCACTGCAATCCAGGGGCTCCGAACTCTCCCTCCCAATGCTGGCAGCATGCAGACCTGTCTCCCATCAAGGCTCAGTTGTGTTCTCAGCAGGAAGGGTAGGGTACCACAGACGGACTCTGCCATGTACCAGGGCCAGAGCTCCAGGCCTGGAGCTTATTATCCATGTCCCTATCCAGCCCTGCACTCTCGGAACCTCAGCCCTGAAAGCGTTCAGAACAACCTCCCTGCCCCCCTGGGATGCAGCGAGGGTTAAGAGGTCTGTCGTGGGTGGGGTGGGGTGCATCCAATCAGTCAAGAAGGAACACCCACGGCTGGAGCGATAGCACAGCAGGGAGGTCGTTTGCCTTGCACGCAGCCAACCCGGGTTTGATTCCTGGCATCCCCTATGGTCCCCCGAGCACTGCCAAGAGTAATTCCTGAGTGCAGAGCCAGGAATAACCCCTATGCATCACCAGGTATGACCCAAAAAGAAAAAAAAATAAAATAAACACCCTAAAGCCCAAAAGGCAGGTACACCCACACACTCCCCACCTCACCTCCTGAATCTGCTTGTCCAGGCCTCCGATGTCGCTGTACTGCTCCGTGGGCCTCTCGTCCACCTCCATGGCTTTCACCCTCGAGTCATACTCTGTGGGCAGAGTCTCCAGGATCAGGTAGGAGTCCTTGTTCACACCCTGGGGACACAGCAGGAACCCTGCACATCCCTCCTGGCTCGAGCCCCACCCATCGGGGTGGGCTACGGCGGTAGGTCTGCAGGGCCAAAGGGACAAGACAGGCCAGGACAACACAAGAACCAAAGAGCGGGCAGACAGGATCCCAGGCTCTGGGAGGGCTCTGCCACAATCGAAGGCCAAGACCAGCCAACAATGGGACCCAGGGCTGGGGCAGGAGCTCAGCAAGTCGGCAGGTGAACCCTCACGGGACAGGCCCTCCCGAGCACTTACCACCAAGTCTCCCGGCTTCAGCTTCTCAGCATCCACCAAGCCAATCACGGGCAGGAAGTATGTCTGCAGGAGACACCAGGAGTCAGGTACTGGTCCCAGGAGGGCCCCTGGTCTCTCTATTCTCCTACGGGCAAACGGGTCTCACCTGTCGGGTGGAGGTCTTGATCACGGCACACTTGCCCTTCCGCTGGGAGTCTAGGTCAATATTAGCACCATCTTCCTCTTGGTCATTGGGATCCACGTCCAGGAGCTAGGAAGGAGGAAAAGCTCAGATCAAGAGGCTCTGCCCAGCCCAGGACCCAGAGCTTCTGGACCCTGCAGGGCTAGCTGGCCACCCCACCTCACTTCCCACACCAGCCTCTGGGCACGGCCACAGCGGAGAGAATGAGTGGGAAGTACGAAGGCCCACTGGGGTGCTGCCCCACTACCCAGGGCTGGTCTCCCCACCACTAGGAAGAGGGGGGCCTGCAGGGTTAATCTTTCGGGACCCCCACCCCTCCCCTCCTATGCCCTCCCACCCCCAGCCCCTGCTCCCCTCCACATGCACACACACCTCAATGACGTTGGACACCAGGTAGGGGAGGGTCTTGTTCACTTTGATCTTCTCGCTGTTCTCTTTGATCTTGTCCTTCATGGCCTGCAGTTCATGGGTGACTCGCAGCACCTCGCTCTTCATGATCTGGGAGCAGGGGAGCCTCAGCTCAGCTGGGGGTGGGCGTGTGTGGTGGGGGGAGGGTGTCCCAGGGCCCAGGGTCTGAGGTTCTGACCAGCTGCATCTGTCCAGCTGCACCCACGTTGCCCCCAAGGCATGCCTCTGTGTGTGTGTGTGTGTGTGTCCACCTCCAGATGCAGTTCCCTTCTATTTCAAGGGCCACACCCTGGGATGCTCAAGGATCCCTTCTGGCAGGCTCAGGGGACTCTATTGTGGCAGGCACCTGGGATCAACCAGGGATGGGCCCCAAGCAAGGGCACCCTGCCCCATTAGCCCGGGCCCTGCAGCAATAACCGAGTAGCGAGGTGGCTGTGGGCACACAGTTCCCTCAGGGACGGGAGCAGTCCTGGGTCTCTTCTCGCAGTCTCAGTTTCTTATCTGCACACTGGTCTTTTTTAAAAGAACCCCCCTCTGCCCCGCAGGCCTGCTTTTCAAGACCCGCTTGCAGAGGCCATCTGAGGGTCCCACAGCGGTGGGGTCTCCCGCCAACTCATCCCCTTTCTCAGATTTCCCTTTTTTCCTCCCTCCTCTCTCTCTTTTGCAGGCCAGGGAAGGAGTCAGCGGCCGCCCCGCCGCCCCGGAGCTCCGGGGGCCGGAAGTCCGGGGTGCGCGCGGGGCCGAGGGGGCTCCGCGCCCACCTTGATCTCGCTGTCCAGCAGCCGCGTGCGCTGGATGATCTCTTCCGTGGACATCTTGAGCACCTCTTCCCCGATGCCATCTTGCTGTGAAGGGGAGGAAGGGGAGTCAACTTTCTTTTCTTCGAAAGTCAGGCCGGGCATCCCGCCTCCTCTCCGCCTCGCGGTGTCCCCCACCCCACGCCCCAGCCCCTCACGGCCGGCCACGACGCCGGGACGGGGCCGTCCCGGAGAGCCGCAGCCCCCCAGCCCGCCCGGCCCCGCACCTCGGCCTCGTCCCACACGGTCGCCATCTTCTCCTGCCGAGTCACCGGGCCCGCGAGCCTCGGCGGCAGATTCGCCTCCTCAGAGCGGCGGGCCCGAGGCGGCGGCGCGGCGACGGCGGCGGGGCAGCGATGGAGGACGGCTCCCTTGCCTCAGGACTCAGCCGCGGACCTGGCGCCCCGCATCCCGACTCCACACGGAACCGATCCCGGGCTACGCGAGCCGAGCGAATCGGCTTCCGCGAGTCACAGACGTGGTCAGCGCGGCAGGACCCGCCCCCGACGCTCCTGATAGGTTCTCGCCCCTCCCACTCAGTTGTTTCTGCCAGCGCTTATTGGTCAACGTGCTCGGTGGGGTGGAGCCTGGAAGGAAAACCGGAAAAGGAAAGAGAAGGGAGGAGGGGGGAATAAAACACCCGGGAGCCACGAGGGATCTTGGGAAATGTAGTTTTTATTGGGGGGAGTTTGCTCGCTTCCACTTAAGAGTCAGTCCTACTAGTTTAGCTAGGAATCAGGGGGCTCGGACTTTGGTTGTACCTCCCAAATTATAAAAGAATATGCGCCAGGCATATACAGAGAGACAAAACTTTTAAAAGGTTTAACACCTCAGGGCCCTTTTTTTTAAATTACTATTTATAAAAATAGCCTACCTCCCAGGGTTCAGGAGAGAATCATTAACAAGACTAAACAGAGAAATCACTGTTTACTAACTTCAGAGCAAGCGCCTCGCAACTGCCCACATGGGGGAAAGCGCAAATGACAATCGTTCTGTAGGATCTGAAATGTCTGCATTGGACTGAAACTCCATGGTGGGAACCACATAGCCCCTGGAACACTGCTATGTGCTGCCTTCACAAAAAAGTGAAACTAGCCCTTAGCAGGGGGCCTGTGTGAGGGAGCCTGGAGCTGAGACTAGACCAGAGCCTCCCCTCTCTATAATTCTGGGACACACTACCCAGGGTGATGAATGCGAAGGGGCTTGGAGAATCATAGGACTAGTGATACTTTGTTGTTGTTTTGTTTTGGGGGGGTCCAAACCTGGTGTTGCTCAGGGTTTACTCCTGGCTCTGTGCTCAGGGATCAGTCCTAGTGAGCTCTGGGTACCATGCTGGGGACTGAACTGGGGTCAGCCAGTGCAAGGAAAAGCCCTACAACCTGTACTAATGCTCCTGCCCTAAAGTGCAGATATTCGCCAGTGTTGGCCCACCTGCAGTCTAGCCAGAGACTTCTTCCCAGTGTACCCCACTGCCTCAGAAAACAAAACACTGGAGGGGCCAGGGAGTGGCTCAGCAGTAGAGAACTTGCCTTGTGTGTGAAATAGATCCTGGGTTCTATTTCCAGCCACCCCCTGAAAAAAGATGAAAATTTGGAGGGTTAGGGGCAGAGAGAGAGTTAAGTGGGCAGGCAGGTGGCAGGCCCACGTTCCATTGGTCTCCAGCATCCCACTTGATGCCCCCAGTGTGCCAGGAGTGCTCTGTGAGCACAGAACAAAGAGTAATCTTTGATCACACCTGCAGCAGTGATCCCTGAGCATAGAGCCAGAGTAAGCCCTGAGCACCACTAGAGTGCCCCCAGAATCCAATCCAACAAACTTTATTTATTTATTTAGTATCTGAGCTACACCTAGTGATACTCAGGGCTTACTCCTGGCTCTGCACTCAGGAAAAACTCTTAGTGATGCTCAGGGGACCATATGGAATGCCGGAGATGGAAGCCAGTCGGTCGCATGCAAGGCAAGTGCTCTCCCTGTCTGTACCATTGCTTTGGCCCCGGGAAAGACAAATTCTGCATCAAGTCAGATCACAAGCTCAATTCTGCCATGGCCCTGTAGTCTGCTCTGACCTGGAGCAGCCCCTCCCAATGTCTACTGGGTCTTTCTTGTCTACACAGCATCCGGGCCAGTTGTCCTGGCACGGGCCGCTCCCGACACAGTAACCCCGAGAATGCTTGGAAAGCCTGCCAGGTGCTCAGCCTGCAGCAGCTGTCCCCACTCTCAGGGGGGCCCGTGATCCACCCAGCCCCAGGCAGAGTTGCCCTGCTCAGTTACAGATGCCTCACTGCACTGGCCCCTGGGAGAGCTTCTTCCACATTGTTTCTTTCTTTTTTTTTTTTCTTTTAATGAATCACCATGAGATACAGTTACAGACTTACAAATTTTCATGATTACGTTTCAATCAAACTATGTTCGAGTACCCATGCCTCCACCAGTGCCCATTCTCCACCACCAATGTTCCCAGTGTCCCTCCAGCCACCCCTTGCCTCTGTACGCATTCCCTTTTACTCTCTCTCTCCTTTTGGGTATCTTTTGGGTATTATGGTTTGCAGTATAGGCACTAAGCAGCCATCATGTTTGGTCCATATCTACTTTCAGTACACATTTACCATCTCGAGTGATCCCTCCAACCATCATTTACTTAGTGGTCCCTTCTCCATCCCACCTACCTTTTCCCCCAGCACATGAGATCGGCTTCCAAGCCGTGGGGCAATCCTCCTGGCCCTTGTCTCTACTATCCTTAGGTATTATTATTCTCCTATTATGTTACTTTATATTCCACAAATGGGTGCAGTCATTCTGCGTCTGTCCCGCTCTTTCTGACTCGTTTCGCTTAGCATGATACTCTCCATGTTGATCCACTTATATGCAAATTTCATGGTTTCATCTTTTCTAACAGCTGCATAGTATTTACACCATTTCTCATTTCATTCTCTGCCCCCTTTCAAAAGCCTCCTCCTCTCGAGACCACCACTGCTTACCACATGGCAGCATGGCAGCCTGCCCACCCCTGTCTTCCTGGGACCCCTCGTCCTCCCAACACCTTTTTGTTTGTTTGGGGGCCATATCCATGCCATATCCATATCCAAGAGTATCTCGCCCCCACGGCAATGCCTGGCAAGCTACCTGTGACGTATACTCAAGGGTTACTCCTGGCTCTGCACTCAGGAATCACTCCTGGCAGTGCTGGGGGACCCTATGGGATGCTAGGGATTGAACCCTTGCCAACTTGCAAGGCAAAACCCCAACCTGCTGTACTATCGCTCCACCCCCTAAGTTCTGTTCCATTAAAACCATCGTGTTGGGGCTGGAGTGATAGCACAGTGGGGAGGGTGTTTGCCTTGCATGCGGCCAACCCGGGATCGATTCCCAGCATCACATAGGGTCCCCCCGAGAACCTCTAGGAGTAATTCCTGAGTGCAGAGCCAGGAGTAACCCCTGTGCATTGATGGGTGTGACCCAAAACTGAAAACAAAAAACAAAAATAAAAAATATCATGTTTCACTAAGAAATAATAATGAATCTTTCTAAATTAAAATATTAGGAGCTGGAGCAGGGCTGGAGTGATAGCACAGTGGATAGGGCCTTTGCCTTGCATGCGGCCAACATGGCCAACCCGAGTTCGATTCCTCTGCCCCTCTCGGAGAGCCCAGCAGGCGACCAAGAGTATCTCGCCCCCACGGCAATGCCTGGCAAGCTACCTGTGACGTATTCGATATGCCAAACACAGTAACAACAAAGTTTCACGTTGGAGACATTACTGGGCCCACTCGAGCAAATCGATGAACAACGGGAGGACAGCAGGTAAGGCACTTGCCTTGTACACAGCTCACCTGGATTTGATCCCTGGCATCCCATCTGATTCCCCCAGCACTACCAGTAATAATGCCTGAGTGCAGAGCTAGAAGTAACCCCTGAACATCTCCAGGTGTGGCCCACACCCACCCACCCCCCAAAAAATATTAAAATATTCTTTTTGCAGTGTCAGGGCTAGGACCCAGGACCTCACACATGGAAGCACCTGGGCTGCCCAAAGCTGCAGTCCCAGTGGCCGGGCAAGGACATTTGTGTCTGCTTCACCATGACCTGGGCCACGAGTCCAAAGGTGCTCCTCTAGGGAGCCTCCATCCCTCCCGCTATCCCCCACTCCTCAGAACCCACAGGGAATGGAGAGGCATCAGCACCGGGGACAGATGGTTTATTTTTCTATAAACAGCAAAGTACAAAGAGGCAGGGCAGGGTGACGGCGAGTGGGATCAGGCGTGGGTAGCAGCGGGGTGCCTGGGCAGAGGAGTGGGCAGAGGGTGGACGTTGGTGACCTCACACGAAGCCGGGCTTCATGGATGAGCGGCGGCAGTTGGGGCAACTCCGTGTCCCGTTGTTCTGTAGACACCTGGGGAGCCAAGGACAGTGCCCGCCCATCTAGTTGAGGCCCTCAGGGGCCCCTTCCCTGGGTCTTCCAGGGGGTCTCCTCCCTCCCACCCGAGTCTGGGTTGGCAGTGGGACTCTGGGCCGGACCCACATGCCCAGCTTCGGGGAGATGAAGGGTCAGCAAGCCAAGAGGCCCCTCGCTCAGGCTCCCCCACCCCGAGCCACAGGGCGGACTCACCGGAGGTGGAAGATGTGGGAGCAGGGCAGGGCCTGCAGGCGGCTGTTGCGCTCCCCGATGGACTCCCCGCACAGCCCGCAGTACAGCTCCGTCTCCTCCACGCACTCGTGGAAGCGCACGACCTGGGCACGCAGCTCCCGCTGCAGCCCCTGGCTCCGGTAGATGTGCTCACTCAGGCAGTGCAGTTTGAGCTGGCTCAGCTGGGCACGGGCAAGACCGGGTCAGCGGCCTCCACCCTGCTGAGGGACCCCGGCAAGACATCCTGCCGTCTCTGGGCCTGTGTGTGTGTGTGTGTGTGTGTGTGTGTGTGTGTGTGTGGTGAGGGGGGAAGAAGGGCTCTGGGATCTTCACCCACACAACTGGCTGGGGACTTCAAATGTTTTTTGGGTAGTTTTTTTTTTCTTTTTGGGTCACACCCGGCGATGCACAGGGGTTACTCCTGGCTCTGCACTCAGGAATCACTCCTGGCAGTGCTCCGGGGACCATACGGGATGCTGGGAATTGAACCCGGGTCGGCAACGTGCAAGGCAAACACCCTACCTACTATGCTATCACTCCAGCCCTGGGCAGTTGTTTTTGAACCACACCCAGAGATGCTCAGAGGTGACTCCTGCTTCTGCACTCAGGAATTATTCCTGGCAATTCACAAAGGACCATAAAGGATGCTGAGGATAAATCTGGGTCAACTGCGTGCAAGGAAAGCACCCTCCCCTCTGTATTGTCTCTCCAGCCCCTCTATAGGATTTTTAAAGTTTTTCCATTTTTTTTTTTTTTTTGGTGTTTGGGCCACACCCAGCAGTGCGCAAAGGTTACTTCTGGCTCTGCACTCAGGAATTATTCCTAGCAGT